AATTTGGATAATTCTGCAATTTTCTCAGAGAGCTTGTCTCGAAGATGCAAATCTTGAAACACTCTGTAACGCAACACCTGTCTGACATGTAACCCAAATTAGCGGATAATCGCTCGTCTAAGATCTCCTGTAACAGCTTAGCTGAGCCGCACAAAAACATGAGCTCTTCTTCCCGTCCAGCTACCCAGTAACAAGATTATGGCCTCTTGCTTCACCTAGTGGTCTGCTTACTTCCCTCTTTCCCGACCGTCAAACGAGTGCCACAATTGAAGCCGAAGATAATCCGGAACAGTGCGGCTTAGCCCTTGAACCCTACCAACCAAAACGCCTGAGTTTGCTCGCGTTAGACCCTTTCCCTATATTGCCGGTCTGTGGAGAGCACCCAGAACATGGAGCTAGCTAGCAAATCCAGAATTATTTGAGGCGAATTCAGTATACTGTGAAGGTCACATTTGTGTGGGTATAAACAAAAGCACTGCGGGTCACAAAACTTGTCCGCACCACGGCTTGCAGAGTAGGTTTCACAGGGGACATCGAAGGTTTGCATGCATGTTAAACGCGCCAACTGGCTCTGCTCAAACGCATGTAAATAAGATGTTCGCTGAGGCAAGAAGATAAAGTGTGCTAAAGGCGGTTAGAAAATAAAGAGGGAAATCTGAAAGCGGAAGGCGCACGTTAATGTGTACCGATTCTTGGAGGTCCGCCGCATACCTGTCTTTGGCACGTGGAAGGAGCAGCGGAGATAGTCGATCGTGCCCAGTGGGGAGGGGTGCGGGCGAAACACAGAAGGGCAGCCACGAAGGCAACGGGGGCCGCCCAGGACGGTTAGGCATAGACTTTAACAGCCGACACCGCAAAGCCACCCGAGTAGAGAAGCAAAAATCCCGCCTGCTTAATGGACTGGGTGGTTAGTTTTGTAGCTCTGATGTTTTTTTTTTTTGTTTTTTTTTCTTGTTTTGTTTTTTTTTTTGTTTTTTGGGTGTAACATGCTGAACTCGCAGGTGGTTGAATCCCCTTAGAGCATGAAAGAAAAATGAAACAAAGTTTGTAAAATGTTTTTTTTTTTTTTTTTTATTTTGGGGAGTGTTGTAGTTTGAAAAAACTAAGAATAAAAAATGAAAGAAACAAGAGGAGGAAAGAAAACTCCAGATATAAAAAATTGGTTATAGATGGGATTATATGAAAAATATTCAAGGGTGATTGTTTCAAAAATAAAGTGCGGGCGGGTATGACCAAAAAGGAGGACGTGATTTGGAAAAAATAATAAATAAGTGATTTTAAAATCAAATGGAAGCGATGAGTTTGAAGTAAATAGAAATCACATAATAAAAATGTGAATAGTATATAATATTATGATAAATACTATATAAACAAGTAAGGGATAGGTGGTGTTTGGAACAACTGATAAGGGTGTTATTTTAAAATGATAAAATAAAATTCGGAAAGTTTGAAAAGACGGAGGAGCATGATACCACAAGGGCCGAAGGGAAGATGAGAGAAAGAGGGGAATATAGGTGTGTAATGGATGTGTATAGGCAGAGTGAAACAAACTTGGTGGAGTGCTATATAAATAACAATAGAAGAGAAGAATGGTGTGCTTTCCTAGTGCTCCTTCTCGTCTGCCTATCAAAGTCGAGTATTGGTCTTCTCCAAACGAAGGCTCAACATTCCATTCAACATGCATTTTGTAGTCCTTCTGAAAAGGTCTAACCATGTGCTACACCTATAAAAATGGCCCCACCCACACTAATGTAATGCCTAGAGTAGATGAGATGGCTGGGAAAGCCCTTAAGACGAACACCGAAAAGCAAAGGCCGGGACATATGTGTAAAACTGGCCATACAACACAAATCACAGCGTTGGCACCTAACCCCTTCGATGACGTTATGGTGGATAGCCCTTCTCTGTGTTGGCCCCATCTCTAAACAACCTCTATCAAATCTCTATATTGGACCTATGAATACTAGATTGATATTTTAAACAGAATAATGTTAATATAAATATTACAGCAGCCCCATAATCGTATTTGCTTTCATTCTTGAAAAATAAAATTTATGGAATGTCTACTACTATTAGCAGGCTGTATGTTAAAGAACAATAAAGCCAAAGCCTAGTAAATGGGCTCATACCATATTTTCTCGCAGAAAAATCTGGCAATTTCGACTGGCTCCCAACGCCAAGAAGTACCAGCAAGCAGTGTTGAAAACCCTTATTTAAATCCCTTTCCAAGTGTTGCACCCACAGAGATAAGTCCAGAAGGACAACAACAATAAAGTAAGAAAATAAAGCACGGGTGGCCAACATTGCAGGGACACAAAACCCATCGGCAATGAGAGAGGGTGCACAGTAGTAAACTAAAAAGGGTTGCGCAAGGGAGGTGAGAGAGAAACCGAAAGAGAGAAGTTGCCGAGAAGAAGAGGTTGGCCTTCTTCAATCTCAGAGAGAGAGGAGAATGGTTTGAGTCTTTGTATGTAGGAGGAAGTCGCCGTTCGGTGGCGGCGAATGGAGCTATATGTATTTGATGAGGAGATGACAGCAGAATAGGGTGTGAAGGTGCGGCGGCACGGAACTAACGGCCTGAAGCGTTGCACCGCTCCGCCTGGGGAAGCGAAAGGATACTAGGTGGTCGTAAACTTGCTCTGATACCCAATATGCATAAAAATTTAAATATGTATATAAAGAGAAATATGAGAAATTGTATAGATATTTGATTGTATATACTTGACGGTTGATATATTATTGATGTTATTAGCAATGATTCATGATTCTAATAATATAGGAAGAAAAGGGTGAGTTGTGTAGTCACGTAAGGACGCTAGGCTGAAGTGTGTTAGGTGGTAGTTGGTGTAAGTGGGTTAGGTTTAGTGGAGTAGGTAGTGGTAGTGGTGGTAGTGGGTTAGGTTTAGCTGGAGTCAGGTTTAAAAGAGTTGGGTGAAGTAGGTTGATGAGTAGGGTGGAGGGTGGGTTAGGTTATATCAAATTTTTTCTTTTTTAACATACCTATTTCGGAAGCCACTCAGAAATGAAGAAGGAAGACGTGAGAAATTGGCGAAGACAACGTTCCTTCCTCTTACAATGAACACTATCAAAATGAAATGAGCGAGGGTTTTTGCATACGATTATAATGCCTCACACCTCAAATTGCCCAGCCATATCAATCTATTATATTAGTTTTTTCTTGTTTTTGAAAATAAATAAACAATTCTTTAGGACATCTTACATAACTGGATTGATCCTTCATGTAAGTTAATTTTGGAGTATTCAGTTGTGTTTTATTTACTATATATAACTATTTTTTTGGTTGTATCGCTAAACGTTTCTATATGTTTCTATTCTTCATTATATTAGCTGTTTTGGTTTTGATTCTATTTTTCTCAGGAGTATCTTGTCACTATGGAGGTTGATGCATTGCTAAAGGCAGACTGGAGGTTCTTCTGATTGGCAACCCATTTTCATGTCATGTTTCGTAATGATTCGCTCACGTATGGTAAAGCAATTCCATGAAGTGTGTAGCTACTCTAGACCTCCAAAATCTTCAATTCTAGAAATGGAAAATAAGAAACTCAAAGGTATCTTTCATTTGATAATTTCACAAATTAGAATAGGTATTTAATTATCTTGTGCTCTTATAAACGGTTTCTGTATGATATTATTAATCTTTAACCCTCTAATGGTTTTTTTTTTTTCCCTTCTGAAAATGGTTGTTCCTTTAGTTGAATTCCAATGGCAGTTTTTTCTGGTTTGGACAACTTTTCCAATAACAGTTTATTTCATATAGTAACCATGTCAAAGTGAGGGAAACATATTCTGAAATTTGGAACAGAGTTACCTGAAAACCAATTCTAGTGATCTGCATCTGATCCAAATTTGTTCCTTTAGTTTAATCTAAATGATAAAACATAAATAACAAAAATAAAACAATGAAGAAATATGTAGTAGAATATAGTTCTTTGGGAGACTAAAGGATAGAGTTACAACAAGAGCTTAACATGCATAGTATACACTTATTTACTTACTTTTATATTATTAGTATAATACTACACGCTTTCCATGTTCCCATTCCCATTCGGCCACAACATTTCAGGCAATAACAGTTTTCAGTTCCAATTTTACATCTTTTACAGATTGTACTACGGAATATCACAACTTGATCTTTGAGGTGTAATACTTTTGAGTTTGTGCATTTGCTATCAGCATTCTTGCTTTTTATGCAGTCTTTTTTTAACATTAATATTGAGATTTCTGTTCCTACTCTGGTGGTTTAACAAAGGAAAAAAGCATTCTCGAGCATTTGGCTATACTGTTGGGAAATCAACCTCATCAGTTGTGGAAACTGTCCCCTGTGCTAGCTGCAGTTGCTATTCCATCCTGGTACCTTCATCATTTTTTGATCTGATGTTTGATCATCTTATTTCCATTTTTTAAAAACAATTTCACAAGCTTTAGATATGTTCATGGTGTTTTAATAGATTCAAGATTGTTTCTTTTCATTTCTCAACACTCCCATAATTAAAGGGCATTTTTAATCTCAATGAACAAGGTCTTCTTATGGACCCAAACTATTATCACAAGCATTGTACGCAATGTTCATTTAACTTGCACGTTGAGAATTGAGGAATGTGATGATATATGGTTGCAGGTCACCTTTGTTCAGATTGTATCTGAGTGAATTGGAGGCTCAATTCAAAGGAGATTTTTCACCAATTAGGTTTCAATATAATTCCTGATCTTATTATTCTGCCTTTCCAATATATATCTCCTTTTCTTAATATTTTTCTAATTGAATTTGGTGATCCATGTGGGGTAGTACTTCCTCTTCTGTTAACAGATGTTTATTTTTTCTTGCAGTTGCTGCAGTTGCCTTCAAAATAGGAAGGAACATAAAGACTGTGAGTTGTTGAGATTCTCTCTCTCTCTCTATCTCTCTCTCTCTCTCTCACACACACACACACACACACACACACTCGCGCACGCACACACATGGCATCAATGCATGATTTGCCACTAATTTAGTGAAATTGAGACAATATAGAAATCAGACCTTATGAGATTGCATTGTTGCAGAGACTACACCACCAGTGTGAAAATTATATGCGTTGATTATTCATAGTTTTGTCATCTGTCATCTGAATGCAAGATAATGTAAAATTTTGGTAATTGATTACATCATACTTGGAATTTGTGTGAGTGGTGCAAGTGAATGAGTAAATATTTCCCAAATGTGTTATACTGTTTGGAATGTATGAAGAACTGCTATAATTGTTTGCGTTGAAATGGGCAAACGAGCACCTCAAGTTGATAGTAATATGCTCTCAACACCAGACGGCATTTAGTAGCTTCAACTCCTGAATGCAACAAATTTGCTATCCGTTACATCTAGAATTGTAGTAATAGGTTAGAGAATTAAGGTTTTCAATGATTTTTGTTTATGGAGTTCCCATTCCATGTGCTTTCATATTAATACTCTAATATATGCATTAGTTATATTAGACAATTATTGAGTAGCAGCCTAACTAATTGTTATGTTAATGCATGTCACACTCCCAGGTGAGCTTGCTGAGAGAATTTGGTGCCTTCACATCTACCATGTTTGTGGCTCCCATCGAACCTGTGGCACAAACTTTGCATGAACTACTGCTAATGAGGCATGACTATGACAGGCGTCGTTCAGATCTCCTGTCTTTATGCACTGCTTAACTGCCATGCCTCTTTGTTTTGGAGCTTAGTCTGCCCTTTATAAGGCTGAATTTTTTTCTGTAGAGGTGGTGAAAGACAGTCCTCGGGAAAATATAAATCCATGGAGCACATTTTGAGCTGTATAGTTAGCCGAGAGGTATTAGTAGGATGTGCATGTATACATATATAAAGCAAAAAGGTCTTTCTAATGAACGTGCCCCAAACCCTTATACTAAAATTTTGTAATTTATATTTATTTATTGATGTGACACATTACGTGGT